GCTTTGGCCCCTCCCCGTCGCGAGCTTCTCGGGCTCCCCGCCGGGCCCCCCGGGCCCAGTTCTGAGCTCTCTCCGGCAGCCACCCTACTTCTGCCCCCGTATTCACCAAGTCACTAGGTTACAGACCCCTAAACTCTAGCCCCCCAACCAGCTTCTTATTCCACGGCAACCCCCCCTACTGCTGCCGCCGCCGCCTCCTCACCCTCCACAACTCCCAGGCTCTAACCCTTGCCGACCAACTCCCCCACCCCCACCCCACAACTCGCTGGTCTTAACCCCCACCTCGCCCCACCGCCCCTACAACTACCCAGCTCTCCTCGCTTCCCGGCTCTCTTCCCCACAACTACCTCCGGTACAGGTCCCTCTACCACAGACAATACCCAGACACTCTCCTCTCCCACAACTATCTGCCCACCCCTCCAACAATCTCCGGCGGCAACTACCGGAGAGCTCCCCGATACAAACTGCTCCACCTCGGCGAACTACCGGGCTCCTCACTCAGTTCTCTTCTACCTCCTCCCTCCTCAACAACTCTCCGACCCCCAGATTTCCCCAGCCTCCCAGTTTCAGGGCCCCAACCTGCCGGAGGCCCTTTCGGCCCCTAACCCCCCGAGCTCTGTGTTTCCAGCTCCCACTCCCCCACCCCACCCCCACACACACACAGCGTCGGATCTCCGACTACCCCCAGCCCAGTCTCCCAACCCTCTCTTTCTCCAAGATCTCTCAACTCGTCGCTCTCCGACCTCCAGGGGAAGACCCCCAACCCCCTCTCGGCGCTCCCTTGCTGGGATCCGTGGCTCGACCTCCAAGTTTATCAATTGATTCCTCTCCCACCCCCCGCCGTCTCCGCGCTCTGTGCCGGTCGAGAGCTCACCTTCGGGACTGGGCTCCGCCATGGCTTCCAGCATCGCCCCCTTCCCTCCTCCCGGTCCGGCGCCCCCCTCCCCTGAGCCGGGGATCCCGGTGCCGCCTCTGATGTTCGCTGCTTCTACTGCTTCGCTCCACAGAGGTGTCTGCCTCGGCCCGGCTGAGACTTGAATCCGCTAGCCGCTGCCGCCACCTCCCTCTACCACTGCCTCCCGCACTCCCGGACCGGGCCCCCTCCCCCCCGCGCCGCCGGCCGCCTGCTCCCTCCTCCTCCCCTCTCCCTCCTCCCTTCGCGGGCGCCGACGCGCAGTGCATCAAGGGGCTTGTAGTCCGTCTGGGGAGAGCGGAAAAGGGACTGCATAAACATTTGAAACTTCAGTTCCCAGCAAGCCATGGATTGGCGCAGGCGCACTAAACCGCTCCCCTCCCCCGGGGAGTGGCGGGGAG